TTTTTTTTATATATTTCTATTCCTCTCTTTTTACTTCAATTTTAGTTTGAGTAATTTTAGTAATTCAACTTCTAGCTTTCCCAAGTTTAAGTTTTTCCATCTAATATTTCTGTAATTTTTTCAGCTTTATTTTAATTAACAAAAATTAAAGTTATCACTAACAACACATCATTCTGTTTATGCAGTTATAAAAATGAGATATAAATTTAAGCAGCAGTAAATTTAAGCAAACTCCATTTGATCAATTTCATTAAGCATTTTACTTCATTGCATAGAGTGTCACTTGTGGGCAACTACATTTTTGATCTGAGAAACTGTAGCTATTAAAACATTTTTTACATGTTCTTTCAGAGTTTCTTTGATTTAGCTTTTCTTCACAGAACTGTCATGACCGTGATCGATGCTGCAATTACATTATTCACAATACACACTCCCTTAAGTTCACTAGCATTTTTTAATTTCTACCTCAGGTGACTGAACCTGATCGCTGGGCCTCTCCTCACTCTCCATCTTCTTAGGTAAGTCCAACTTTTGTTTTGGGAGCTGCCAGTCACATTTGATGATCTCCACGTTTAGTTTCTTCATAGTAATGGAGAGTGGGAGGAGCTTGCGGGCTGCGGCGGTCTTCCAGGGTGTCCTAACTGGAGGTGGGGAGGGTTCCTTGGGGTGGGGGTCAGGTTTTGCAGGGCTGTGGGGTTGCTCTTGGTCCATATCATCCTCTCCCTGATTGGGAGATGATGTTTCTCCACTACTATTGATGCTGCACTGCCTCCGTGGCTGCTGCCGACGAGGTATGTGCTCTTCTTTCGCTCCAGCACTGCCTTTAGAGCGTCTCTGCTTGCGTTCTGGGCGGATTTTACTGATCGCCCTAGGTGAGGTCACAGTGTCAGCAGCAGGAGCAGGAGCAGCAGCACTGGGTTCCTTGTCAATGTAGATGAAGGTGTAGTTCTCATTGCGTTCTTCTCGTGTCATCTGCAGAGCGGCTTCTGCGTGACCCACACCCACTTCCCATTGGGCACGCTCCTTCTGGGACTGAGGCTTCAACAACTTTAAAATAAATAAACCAGAGAACAAGTAATCAGAAATGTCCACAGAAAGATGGTCACCACATTTGAAGGGGTACAGCAGGATACCTTTTGTTTCTCAGTTGGGTTGGTTGCTTTCCGGAGTGTTTCTGCTTGCAACTCCTCGAACTGGCTCTCACCCTTGTACACCACAATTCTCTTCTCATGG